ATACATGAGCATAATCAGGAAGTGGGCAGGGCATACACAGACAAGAAAACTTAGATATGTGGCTAGAGAAGTAACACATAATATATTGCAAACATTGGCATAGATATCACCAAAACAGGCTTTGCAAGTTTATGAATCAAATGTCAAACTGTTGGTTATTTGTTACACTTGAAACAACAACAGTAAAATTATGCTTGAAATGAACAAAGCATGAACTGGCAATGTTCATTTGCAGTCCTACCCACTAGAGCAAAATCCACAAAAATTGGCACGGTCTCTAAAAGCCTATTCAAGCTGAAACATTTTCAAATGCACACGGTACAGAGTAATGCATACTGGCCCTATTTGGTAAAATAGTTAGCCTATCAACCAATTTCGGCTTATTTGACCACTATTAGCTGTTTGACTTGGTTAAACAATCAATATAAGTGTTTGATTAATTATCTTTTTATAACTTATTGCTCCAAAATGCTAAAATTCAAAAAGCCGCTCATTTTAGCTTTTTCAATTAGCTTTCTGATAAAGTCAATTTGTACATAATCAGCTAACAGCTAATTTACCAAACATTTTTCTAAAATATGCTAATGCTATCAACTAGTCAAACCCACTAACTCAATCAGCTAATAGCTAACCGCTAACAGCCATTTATCAATCTCCTGTCTACTAGGAGAGTGATTCTGCAGCTCCAGTTAAAATGTCAAATTATCAGTCAGAAGAAGACAGAGTAGCAGTACTCTTGAACCAAGAAAAGTAAAGGGTTTTTGTACATTTATATACAACCATATTCCAACTCTAAAATAATATCAGAACAAACCTAAACAATATTCAGAAAAAAAAGATTCTTAACTAGAAACTTCATAATTTTGTAGCATGGCATCAAACAAATAAAGCTTAAATGATTAATACATCACATCATCAGATCAGAAAACACCAGTATTGTTAGCTTCGGAGAACAGAAAGTAGGGCCTAGGGGGTTGAATTCAATCAATATAGCAAATCAATTCACAATATGCAAATAAAACCAAAACCACAAAAAAGAAGTGAACGCAGATAAGGTGTTACCTTACACCTGCATCACCAACAATTCCAATGGCCATGCCAGCAGAAAGGCCAGCGAGGCCACAAGCAAGACCAGAGGAAAGGTGAGCGTAGCCATCAAAGAGGTAGTAGGACTTGGTCTTAGGGTTAATACCGGTACTTATGATCACGGCAATAATCAAGCCGTAAATACCCAAAACACCAGCCATAACCACTGGGACAATCGACTTCATGACCAGCTCCGGCCTCATCACACCCATCGACGCCACCCCTACCCCACTCTTTGCGGTCCCATAGGCAGCTCCCATACCTGCACACACAAGATTGAAAGAGGAAAAAAGCTGAAATTCACAAAAACACAATTGGTCGAGACTGTATGTAAAAATCGAATCATAGATCCGTGCGAGTGAAGGAGAGATGATGTACAGGAGAAGACGAGGGCAGCAGCAGCGCCCAGGAAGCCAAAGAAGGGTGCCGTCTCATCGCCGCTGAAGGTTGACATCTTTTCAGCTTTTCAGCGAATTCGTATACGTCGGATCTGCAGAAAAACTGTGTAATTGATCAGATCTGAGAAGCCCTTGGCTCTTGCGAGTTGCGAATGGCACTGCACAAAAGATTTTTATTGGCCCTTGTGTTGCCGTGTTGGGGAAAGGATATAAAATTCTTCCTTAAAATTGTGGTCTTGGGCTTGTCTCGACGACCCTAGATTTTGGTAGTTGGCCTTACAATGGCCTTTCAAATTTTCACTATATATTTATCTTTGAACTGTAAACTTATTAGTAAAATTTAAACTCTAAGGTTGATTCTTAGTAAAATTCAAACACTACAATTACAGATGATTAGTTCTGAGTAGATTTTAACACTACATTTGTAGATGCACCCTACCATTGGTCAAAATTCAAATCCTATGGTAATTCTTAGTAGGATTCGAACACTACATTTGTAGATGCACCCATTGGTCAAGATTCAAACTTTACGGTAATCGAACACACTTCGTTATTGGTCAAAATGTTATAAGTGCATCGAATACACTTCATTATTAGTCAAGATTCAAGATTTAAACTTTACGATTGTAAATAAATCGAACACACTTCATTATTAATCAAGATTTAAACTCTACAGCGATAAGTGCATTGTCCATAAAGTGACAAACTAATACGTAGTATGACTTTATAATAGTGTCAACCATTTATATTCGTTAATCATATAACTTAACAACTAGATTATAAATTAAGCAAATAAAATCAGTCATATTTGAAGGAATATTGGCCCGATTTGGTAAATAATTATTAACTGATAGTTGTTAGAATGTATAATTAATTAATAACATTAGCTGATTGTAAAAATGTATTTGGTAAATTAGTTGTTAGCTGATAATTTGGTATAATTTCATTGAAAAAGTTGTTTTGAACAGCTTTTTAAATTTTAGCATTTTAGGGTTACAAAAAAACTAAATAACCAAACATTTATTTTAACCCAGTCAAACAATTAATAGTGGTCAAATAAACTAAAATTGACCGATAAGCTAACTATTTTACGGAATAGGGCCATTATCTTTCCTTTTCCTTTCCGCATAGCAAAACTCTATTACCTATAAATGTACACACCACAGACAAAGTAGTGCCGAGTTGTCAAAAAAAAAAAAAAAAAAAAAAAAAAAAAAAAACCATAATGAGAAACCTGCAGATTCAATATAGAATTATGCAAAATGGGTTGTCTTCCTAAACTGTTTTCATATGAAATTATGCCCAGATAACATCACCAGGTATAATGAGATTAATGTAGTGAGAACTTGGAATGTAAACAAGACAATGTTTCATGCTCACAAATGAGAAACTTCTCATCATTTGTGCATTCAAATACAGAATCTGTTCGATTTTAGTACATGCAAAATCATCATCCACCAAGATATGTGCCACCATAGTTTGAACCCACAATCTGAACTCCAGGACATTTCTGAATATCTGAATCTGCATGACTACGTCCAAGGCTCGTATTGGAGGACCCTGCAAATTCTATCAGGGTTGTGGATGGACTGAGGTACCAACAAAATTATGTACAGCAAGCGAGAATACAAAACCACAGTAGGAGTATTTGAATATGCTAGTGACAACAAATTCACCATTAAACCGGACTGGTGAAAGTGTGCAACCTCAGCAAACTGCAATAGGATCAGTAGAAAGCAAAGGTAGTAACAAAAATAGGAAAACATGCCAACATGTATTAACTTCCACGGTTGTTCCTAAAAATAAATAAGGCCACTAAACCCCCCTAACCCAACACTACCAAATGCTGACAAACATAAAAGCAGTATAGTGCTAATTTACAATTACAAGTGCGAAGGTTACAGCTTCTGTCTCTTCATGTGCAGAGGTATGTGCTAATTTCCAATTACAAGTAACCACTAAAAGCAAGAAACAGTGAAGTGTACGCTTGAAGCTGAACTAATTATCCCAGCCCTCCCCCAATTCATTTTATCCCAGGTTAGGTGTGGGATAAAGTGAACCCAAACATTGGCATTGGTGTAATTTGAGTGTTGAAAGTAGGTGCCCACACCTAATCCCCAAAATCAAGATAGTTCAGTTTATGCAGAATAAAATTGTCAATAAGAACTATCCAGAAAAGCTCCCCATATTCAAAGTAACGGAGATAGTATAGAGAAAGCACACTTCACAATATACATATTTATTGTGAAAAAGAGAGAGAGAGACTCAACTCTGTCCATCACTTCAATGGCATGGACAGAGTTCAAAAGAGAACTGTTCATTTTACTAATATTACGGAATTATCAACTAAGGAATCTCATCTGCAGATTGTACATCTAGAATTGTAATCAAATTGTTAGATTAACCATATTCTGTATGCTACTAGAAATTCTTTTAGGCAGATTATAGTTGAAGAACAGGACTTCTCATTCATTGTCATTAGCAGTTATCAGCACCGAGAAAACATTGAGGTTGAAATTTGGGTGCACACTGGAGACTTCTAGTTTCCAAATTTGTACATAAAAATGAATGCAGAATTCCCTTAGTATCCCATCTACCTTTTCCTCTCTCACACAGTAGAAAAGCAATATTGTCCTAACTCAATACCTTCATTTGTTTTTCCACCATGAATGAGTCAATGAGTAACGTGTGGATTAGACTGCATCAGCTCTCAACTTTCAGCAGTTAATAATTCTCAATATATTTCATGTGGCAAAAAACAGTAGTACTACTGAATTACTGATTATCCACAATCTTCATGCAGAGGATCAACAATTTCATGATCCATTCTTATAATCATTTTATTCAATTAGAAATTACACCAAACAAGCACATAGTTGCAGGAGAAAAATTAAACAGTGCTTGAAGCAAAGAAGAATAACTCACTCATAAAGGCTGGAAGCCTGGAAGTATGACATCCCAGGTCAGAACTGATCTTCACCTGTGAACAAATAAGAAATGTAAGCAAAGACAAGGAAATATTGATTTCATAATGACTAATACTCAGAAGTCTACGTTTGTCCTTATCCACAGAAAATAGATTTTGAAATTCATATGTCAAGTATAATATGGAGTTGAGATTTTGATTCATTTCTGCAACTGGATTTTCAGAATTCTACTTCCAGTCATTTACATTTATGTTTTAAACTTTCAAAGGCAGAGGAAAACATTACATAGAGGGGGCTATTGAGTATCTTACAATCTTACCACTGAACCACAAATGAAAGGTACTGTGCACAAACGGAGGCACACTTTGGCACTTGAACCAACTGAAATCCCATTCATCTCTTCCTTACCCAAAAACTCATTTACACACTCATTTCAGTTCTTTTACCCAGCACTCATACATCAACTCAAATGTGTAGGAGACCTTGCTGAACCAGAAGCAACTAAGAGACAAAACTGAAAAATAATGCCAAAAGCAATCAACAAGAGAAGTATGCGATTCAGAATTGAAATGACATGTGATGCACTTTAGAGGATAAGAATAATCTGCTGTATATTTGAAGTCATGATAATGGTCCTAAGCTGTACAAATCCCAAAACTAAAGGAAAAGTCAGAAAAAAGTCAGGTTTAATCTATTGCGAACCCTCAAAATGAAAATTTAAGGGGTCTTCACATTTTGTCCTAAAGCTAAAGGATACAATCTTTAGGTTCACCACTCCAACTAACAAATTCTAAGTTTAATTGGAGATAATCACCATCTCAACAGATGCCTATCAGGGCAATGGGAATGATAAAGTATATTCGATGGATGATGGACAGGGGCCTTTGCCACCTCAAAAGAGTTGTTTCTTGTCACAATGCACCTATAATGATTGCAATATCTCAGGCGTGCATATAAGGAGACAAATTATCAGGGCTACTGATTACAAACAAAAATTGGCAGGTTTCAAGAAACCCATCTTTTTGCACGTTGCAATCTTTTATGGCAAAAACTTCTTGCACATGGCATAGAAGATCTTTCTTCATCCAATGAACTTGCATGAGCACCAAAACTAGATAAAATCATCCTTCAGCTTGGTCGTGATTTTGCACCTGGGTTCGTGGACATATTCCTCTCAATCAACATGTCCACAAAGGCACGAATCTGCATAGTTAGCAACAAACAAATCAAGAGTTTATACACAAATTAGATATAAAGTAAGCTGATCTAAGGAATAAAATGAATAAACATGGAATGGGATTTCTTATTCATCACCAATGGAAAAGGCAATCATAAGGATCCCCAACCTTCTCACATAAACTCTTTCTTTCTCCACACATTTAAAATTGCAAAGCATCAGACTTCTATCAGCACATACATAAGAACAAAGATGTAATTTTGAGGTACATTATTCATCAGAAGATAAAATATGCCAGTACCTTGTTTTTACGCTTAAAATCTAGAAACGCGTGCACTGCCATTGCCTTTTCGGCATCTGTGGCCTGTTCCATGACCTAAATAAACAAAGACAATAAGTGCAAAAGAAAATCAAAATTATGTAACTATAATTAAAGAACTAGATTGTGTTGAGAGGTAACCGAATGAAGAGGGAGGTGCTGACCTTGGTGGCAGTTTTCTTCATTATTGACTTATAACCTTCTCTATCAATCTTTCTAGCTTTATAAAGAGGCATCAGTAAAGATGCAACATAATCCACAATAGCCTGTTTAATTTTTTCGGCTCCTCTAGGTTGATTGTGTGTTGCCTTAGTTACTGTAACTTGTGAAGCAGAGCTCTCATTAGCAGGCATATCATGCCTTCTCAAAGGTAATTTCAAACTCATGTTTGAATCCTCCTCGTCCATTACATGCATTACCTGGTCATAGAAATCTGAATTAGCAGCTGCTGCTTGACATTGCCACATCTCAATGGCATTGTAATCCTTTCCTAGACTATCTGAACTATCAACCCATGCTCTAGTTAATATGCTGCTGTCCACAGGAGCACTTTCTCCTGAGTGTTCTCTGAAGTTGAACTGACATGCATTCTCATTTGAATGGCTGTGCTGTGAACGATTATCAACAGGAATTCTGGAACCATCAAGGTTAACGCCAGCAGCAGAGAAATCAACAGACCAGTTCTGTACTCTGCAGTTCCTGGAATCTATTTCTGATAAGCAATCCTGCTTTCCTATTGCACCACCAGACCAATTCCTTCTAATATCAGACTCATCCATTAGTGGATATTGTTCCCGTCTAGCAAATTTGTGAAAAGAGGGTATCTTCGGAAGCAGCAATGTTGTATTATACTTGGCACCAGAAGAAGCATAGGCCTGCAATGGTAATAACAATTATGATCAGCAAGAAAACCCACTTACAAAGTAAGAAGACCACATAACAAATATATAAGGAGTAAAATAGATGAAAGAGAAGTAAATGCAAGGCAACAAAATTGAAAAATGGAAACTGTGAATGAAAAAATGGAATTCACATGAAATAATTTCAGTTTTCTTTCAAAGTCACATTCAACCTATGCAACTCTCCATTTCCAAAAAAGTAACAAAGAATTTCCTAAAGCTGCATATGATGAATGTGATTTTAAGACCAGATTTCTTTTTTAATGTCTTTTATTCCCTTGCTTCCCTTCATTGTTGTTTTCTTCCTTTTCTATTTCCTATCTTCCCTTCTTTCTCCATCTTATCATTGACCATGCAATTTATTTATTGTATCTAACATTCTGCTTTGCATTTTATCACTCCATTAAAAGTGATAAGATCAAAGATTTTGAATTAAGTGATAAATTATACACTTCCTTTAGAAGGTTGACAAGCAATCAAGAATGGAAGTGAAGAAATTGGTAGAAAAACAATCATCCTTACAAACATAATTGAAAAAAAGTGCCTTAAATGTTATATTGTTAATTCACAATAAGGAAATCCCATAGAGAAGTACTATAGTGCAGATCAGATAGACAAACCTCAGCAGCAGCACGAGCAGCGGCACGAGCTGCTTCTGCAGCTGCAATAGCATTCTTCTCCTCTTCTGTCAAAGGGAAATTTTGGCCTCCATCAATTGTGGCATTTTGCCTTCCCACTGAACCTTGAGAAATTGGTGGTTTAACATCTGATTTTGAGTCAGCGGCAATTTCTGACTTTGCTGGTTTGATGTTCATTTTTTTATTGTTTGCATTCATAGGTAATTGGCTTCCAGCAGAAGTTGGAACTCTCAGGCTTCTTTTATTTTCTGGTGCCACTGCAGTTGTACGTAGAGGAGGTTTTCCAGATGCAATACTAGATTTGCTCTTTGGTGGGATGGCAACAGTTGATTGCCTCAATTGTTTCAGACCATTAGACGCCTTCTCCTTGCGGAAAATTTCTATCCACACACTAACAAGCTGGCTTGCTATGGCTCGTATATCACGGCTTGTATGCACACACACTTTTTCTTTTACAGTTTTTCCAATACCTATGTGAAGTTGATTAAAAAATATATTAAATTTTAACTATAGGAAACGAGATGTATAGAATTAAAAATAAAAACAAACAAACTATAGCAGAAAAGTTGTTCAACCAGCTATGAGAGTCATGTAGAACAGATGAAAAGGAATTCAATGACAGAGAGATAGAAAGGGTATACCTGATAAACGCACTGCAACTAAATCAGTTGAAACAAGTACAAGCAGACGAACACAATGGCGCAAGAGTTGAGTCCCATCCTTTCCCATAGAATCCTGTAGAAATAGGTCAAATTGAATAAAGAGAATTTTCAATTATTATGCAGTAGCAACTATGTGAAGTTGAAATCACTGGTGTGAAGGAATGACATACCAATATCCAAGAATTAAGTGTACTGAGACCTTCTTTAGTTCCAGCAAATGATTTTAAAACTTCCACAGGAAGATTCAACAATGCCTTGAGCAAATGTAATCTTCCAGGGGTTGTTTTAGCATTACAAAACATGTCCCACAGTAAATCCCTGGTCAAAATCTGGGTGCCATCTAAAGATTTCTTGCATACATTTGAGAGCTCTACGGCCTCAAGTCTCCTTATGATGTCCCTTACTTCACTCTCTTCAACATCCAAGTGTCTGTTTGCATCCTCTGCGGCCTCCACTTCTGCAGTGAAATCAGTACCTGTATTGAATATATTAATTATCCGCACAGCCTCCCGAAGCCCACTCATCATTGCGCCACCAACAGTATCAGGATGCTCCTTGCAGGTAGCTTCACCAGCAAAAAAAAGGCAGTTCCCAACAGGCCTCCCTAATATGTCATAATCTTCTCCAGATGACCCCACAGCAACGTAAGAGTAAGCTCCATAGCTGTAAGGGTCCCTTCCCCAGTCAGTCACCACAGATGCAACTGGATTGGGTACCCTGCTCTCACCAAAAAGTTTGCGAAGCACCGATAGGGCATGGTTTACATGATCAGATGAACCAATATGTTGACCATCTAAAGCTGCTTTTCCAACCACCAAGGCTATAAGGACAGGTGCACCAACGGTTTTTCTAACATTCCAGAACATAAAGCATTGCCCTCTACGATCTGTTTCTTCAGCAGTTGCACCAAAGTAATCAACTGAGTCATCCCAAAAAACCTCAGGAAACTCCAAAACAACTTTATTAAGAACCCCAAAACCAAGCCGCTGAATTGACAAAGATTTCCAATGGGGCAAGGGGGGTGTAAAGTTAATGGCTCCTGCCTTAAGACACCCAAGCGGTACTGTAATCAGAACGGCATCCCCTGAGAACTCTTTTCCATTGGATGTGGAAACTTTGACCTTGTTAGTTAATCCATCGCTGGTTATACTACTCTCAGTGTTATACATAATATCAGTTACAGCATGATTAAAGTGTATCCTTAGGCCTTCTCCAAGTGATTCAACAACAGCACTGTAACCCCCTTTAATCATGCAGTGTGCTCCTCCAAAACCTCCATATACATCATCTTGATTCCAATGAGGAAGAGAAACTTCCTTGAGCAATGCTGCGCATCCATACTCCAAGTTTGCAAAGTGCCAATCCATTACCCTTCTCTCAAGAGGACTCAGGATGTCTGCTTTAAGACAATGATTGTCACATACTTCATCAGAGGCAGAAAGCATCTCAGAATCCATTACAGTATTCAATGATTTCTGTTTGTTACCCACATAATTTATTCCAGAAAGAGCCATGCGACGTCTTTCGAGGGCATATTCTAAGCCATCCTCAAGAGACATTTTTGATGCATGTTCCCCCTTCTGAGCAACTAGCAACAGCATGTCATCCAGTAAGCTATTGTATTCTGCTTCAAGTGCTTCATCCAGATTCGCAGGAACTTTCTCACCAGTTACAATATCATAGAGAGGACAGTCACTGTTAAGAACTGTCAACTCAAGGCCTAATTGGGCACAAATAAGGGAAGAAGGATCTGGTCTTCTTTCAGTCGCCACATCTGCCTCAATACCGGTAATAATGCTAGCACCAAGATCCACTGGGACAGAGAGAGAGGAACGGTCTGTAAAAACACGCCCCCCAATTCTACTCCTTGCCTCAAGCAAAGTTACATGATAACCTTGACGCTGCAAGTGACTTGCTGCGGTTAAGCCAGCAGGACCAGCTCCTACTATGATTATTTTCTTTACTTCTGAATCACTATGAGTTTGATTGTGATAATCCCTACTGTATGGTTGAGAAGTAAACGGACCTTTAGAAACCTCAGGTTGCACAAAAGTTATCCCACCAGCCTTGGCATCATTTGGAGAAAGTGAATTTGGATCTAAGACATGCTGCAACTTTTCATTCTCATCTTTGCCAGATGTCTCTGACATAATATTATCAGAATTGGCCAATGTATCACAACAACCATCTCTCTGGTGGCCATCAGGAGGACAGTATGCATGCTCTGTAGATGTCAATAATTCTGAGGCTGGAGTATCAACAAGCTGCCTATCTTTATGATATTTTGCTGCACATTTTTCATTGTTAGACAAAATATCATTCTGCATAGCAACAATCTCAGAACTCTTAGACTGGCCCATAATAAAACAAACTCCATCATCTGACTCAGCAACGGAAGCTCCTGATTTTTCTGTAAACTTTTCTTCTTTTAATATTTTCAAGTTGTGCTCATGACCACTTTCAGATATATCCTTTTTGGAAGCAATTCCGAAATTTATATAACCCTGTTAATAAGTGGTAAAGGATTACAAACACAATACAACCATAATTTGCATTGAAGAAAAAGGAGTTAATTTGTTTTCTAAGCCTTGAAGGAAACAGCAAAATCCAATATGAACTTACACACTGATCAAGAAATGTATAAACATCCCTGACTAAAGAAGCATTGGGTGATCCATGAACCGAAGGAGTATCAGGCATTCCACATTCCGAAAGAGGTAAAATGCGACTGAGATCTTTCTTCCAAAGGCTCAAAATGCGGTTCCTGCATCCACAAAAACAGAGTAAATTAAAGTGACAGGCAAAACCATAACAGGGAGTACATTCATATAACATATCATCATACTCTACAATGAAAAGAACTATATTCCTAAAACAAAATATTTACAGCAATCTACCCATGTTAATACTTCACATAAGATCAATGCATCCAAGGGACATGCAATGTGTTCATCTAAGCAAATCAAGAGAATTTTAAAACCATTTAGAAGGTCTAAACCTAGCTTAATTTGAATATACATTTCCTTTGAATGTTTGAAAGATATGAGTTCCATTCCAACTATTAAGCAAATTATCAAGTTCCTTTTCCGATATCCATATGGCATTATTGCAAACAAACAAACAAAAAATCTGAAACTATGCAATAGCATATTATGTCAGCAGTATCGAGAATATTAAAGTACCAAGCATAATACACCGAGCTACTTCTAACATTGTAAGAACAGTCTTATCAGAGATTATTTTAGCCAAACTACTTCCATTTTCCAACTAATTGGGGTCAGGTTGTCTGCCAACATTTGGCATGCACACACAAGAGGATAGGGAAAATTCAGGGGTAGACATTATATGGAAAAAACATGGCAATAAAAAATGAAAAGAACAATGCAAAATTGATCATTTTCTAGTTAGCAAGGAGTAAGTCTTGCTCATGAAAGCAAGATGCTCCTTAAGGTGAAGAACCATAATTTTATTCCATTGGTGTTAAAAAAAAAATAATAATAATAATAATAATAATAATAAAATAAAAAAATCTACCTGCATTGTAGATATTCCTGAAGCCCACCTTTGCGCTTCAGTACCTCCTTAAATTTTATCTTTTCAATTGGGCCAACCGCACGAGCTTTCAGCCCAACAGAAACAGCTGCATCCCCTCCATTTTCAGCATCCAGAATTGTCAATGAAGAAGGATCAAGCTTTCCCCTTTGTTTGGTTTGCCCGCTATCACCATCTTGATGACTGATAAGAAAATCCTGCCCTTGAACCAGAACCTCCCAGTCAAAATCCCCCTCATAGGCCATGTCCCCATGCCTGCGTTTTTTTGAGTTTCTTGCAGCACGTTGACGACCTAACATTCTATCGTCCTTACTTTCATCAGGCATAGACCCTGTCTCAACCTCATCAGGCCCTGGTACATTTGAAGGTGAAGAGGATCCATTATACGCTTCATCTCCAGAGAGATAATCACAACTTTGAGAAAATGCCCCTCTGTCCATCTCATCAAACAATTGGAGGTGATGGCTAATGGAATTACAATTCTCTGCTGCAGCAACATAATTGTTGCGAGCTACTTCTTTAGAATAAGAATCATTACCATCCCCATGGTGCACTTCACCAGATGCTGAAGCATCTTTTTTGCCTGAAGAAAGTGAGGCTTGAAGTGGCTCATCCACATAATCAGTAGGAATTTGGATTGAATCACGACAACCACCGGCAGTAACTTGTTCATATAAGGAGTCAATAGATTTCAATGAATGAACTTGATCTTTTCCAATATCCTTTTGACTATTCTCAGATTCAAACCTCACATCAGTTTGTAGAGCCATATCCATATTCCCTTTAATTGCTGATGAGCCTGCTAAAATTCTTTTAGAAGGCAATAAAGTTTCACCCATGACAATTCTACTGCTCCCCTGCAATGTATTTTCAGCTTGTCCATTCAATGATTCATTATTAGAACAAGACTGTAAATCAATTTTCAGAACAGGAGAGTGGACATTGTCATCTGTATTTAATGTATGGACATTTGGCAGGTTGTCAGAATTAACATCAGAATTCCCTTGTGATGCATAATCACAAACCTCAAGTGTCTCTTTGTTTTCAGAAGCCACAGATTGGCCTACTTTGCTGGTAGGAAGGTCCTTCAAACTATCCTCAGAAGCAGACTCTTGACAAGAAACAGAACAATGCTCTGTCAAATTATGAGTCTCTAGTGTGATGCCACCCTGATGACCAGTAGTCGAATAATCAACTTCATCACATTGGACACTTGAAACATTATTCGTACATGCCTGCAAACCAAGTTCAGATGCTTTGGGTATCGTAGCAAGAACTGGATGTTTTAAAATTGCTTTAGAAGACACATCATCTAAAGTATCACACTGAAATGTTGCAACATGGGGAGAAGGACAATCATGCTTTGAACATGGATCTACCGAAGCATCACCACCACATCCAGGTACTTCCTCCACCAATTTTTCTGATGTCCTTCTGGATATGGACAAGATATCCTGTGAGATGCTACTAGAGCTTAAGTTAGATCCGTCACCAGAAGTTTCAGTTACCTTCCCTAGTTTCAAACATGAAGAACTGCGAGATTTTTTTGACAAATCAGACTTTCGCAAAAAGGCAGACAATGAATCTTCTAAAATACCATCTGCACTGGAAGCGTTTCCAACATCTTTATTCATAGATCTCTGAACTTCCAAAAAATCGTCAGAATCAACTCTCTCTGGAATAAAAGAAACACGAGACCTCTTGCTTTTCCTTTTACATCCTTTTTCAAACCCTTTATTAACTGTTTCATCACATAGAGCATCAGCATCCTTCTGCTCTCTCTCAACAGTTTTTGATGGCAACTCTGCAGCCAAATCTTCATCCTTCTGAAAGGCATTCAGAGATTGAACTGGTAACTTCGTTCCACTGCCAGATTTTCCTCCTCCACATGGCACCAATCCACCATCCTTCCTAGGACCCTTCAGCTTCTTCCAAAAACTAGCCAATGTATCATCCATGCCCACCAAATCCTCGTTCTTGACTGCCTGTTTCTGCATCACATCCTCCACCCCTGTAACTTTATCTCTACCACCATCCAATTCCACTTTGGTCTTGTATTTCTTTCCTTTTAACTTAAACATATACCCAATCGGCTCATCGTCTCCCGAATCAAAATCCATCTCCAAAGCCTTTGTCCTTCGCTTGGCACTAACCTTATTAACACTCCCTTGCTCCCCCATCCTACCTAGGGTTTCAAATAAACTCCACCCAAATACAACCCTAGCAAAGATATCTCCTCACAAGAATCAGGCAACCACTGAGTTGGAGTTAAATGAGCATGGCAATTCAACCTTTCATCAATAAACACACCATTCATATCTATGCATAAAATTCACCTGTCTCTAAGAATTCTTCACAATTCACAAGCTGACCCACCACTCACGACACCACCATTGAGAATCCCTGCAAGTTCAGACAAAACAACACACATTCAGCAACTCGCGCATTCATTCGAATTAGTAAATCCTCAAAAAAGTGTAACCATGCTTTTCAACTTCAAATGCATTCAAATATTGCACTGATTCGACATAACAGAAATTTTGAAATTCAATAAACACACAACAAGAACAAGAACAACAACAACAACAACAAAACCTAGGGTTTCAAATATTACATGAATCGATGAGAGAAGAAGATCAGACTTGATAGTTGGAGCTTTGGGAACGGTGCTAATGGAGCCTTTGAATAGAGCGAGACTGTGAGAGTTCCGTGCCCAAATTAACGAAGCTTGCCAGAGATGAGAACGTCAGCCTTGGCCACATCACGGTGCAACCTGCACTTATGTGATTTTTGGCGTTATACTGTGAACACAACACAAAATTGGGGATTCATGAAATCTAACCAAGACGACGTCGTACCGTGACCCACGAATAATCATCCAACAAATATGGGAAAAATAAAATTTGATACCTTGACTTTCGCGTGACCCCTTTTGGCCTTTTTGTACCTGCACATGAGTTAATCCCCTTTTCAACCCCTCAATTATTACATTTTTCGATTTTAGTCCTTGAATTAAAATCAATCTATAATTAATGAAAGTAAAATGATATATGTACTCCAATGGAGTATAACTTTTACCATATGTCTAAATTTTATTAGGTAAATAAAAGTGAATGAATAAAAACAGTGGTTTAATTTGTTGTTTCAATCAATCAAAGGATGACACCTCAACCAGAAGTAGATGTAGGGTTTGGTTGGTAAATGACGAATTCGCTATTTTGGTGTTTTGTCCGGAGTCAAAACGTTGAAAAAATCGTCTGGTTTTTGTTCCAAACCGCTGAAAACTAAAAATGTATCAATTTAGTTTTTTGTACATTTTTAATCATCACACGCGTTCATTGAATATAAATCAAAATGAGTCACTTTTGCACAATACATTTTGATATTTTCTACCAACATACGAGTTCATTCTTTTATTTTTGTCATTTTGTTATTATAAATTAAAAATCGATCAATTGTGACATATGATTATTGAAAATGTATCAAGTTAGTCTTTCATGGACCTTTTTTTTTTTTTTACATCTTTATACACTTTTACAATCATACATTTTCATTAATTATAGATTAACATTGGTGAAACACAATATCTTTACAGTAAACACTATTTTTAAAATAATAAATAATTTTTGTATATAAGAGCAAGAAGAAACAAACAATTAATAGTAAAATGTAATTCATTGAATACATCTATTTGTTTTGCCTATTTGAATCTTTGTTGCAAAATGTATGGTTAGAATTTTATAAAAAACAATTACAAAATTAGGTATGAAATTTGTATTATTGTAGACATTTTTTTTGAATATACTAACTTTATTACAATGTAAATATTACTAAACAAACATTTTAAAATTTGTAAGATGGTTATAATTAATACTAATCCCATAAGTTATCTCATTCACCAATCATTATAGTATGAATAATGATAGGCCATTAAATTTAGAGTTAAACCTTAAAACACAACTAATCATTGATGCAAAAAGACAATGAATGATTACATTTCATTTATTGCGTATGCCAAACAAAAAAAACAAAAACAATGCTTTTTAGTTGTAAATCCTAGTCATAAAATAATAGGTGTTGCAATGTAAGTAGTACAACTATTGTAATAATACGTAAAATAAACTTCAAGTAAGCTAATGTGTTGCTCTAATGCTCTATGGTTTGTGTGCTAATCAACTAACTATGGAGGTTATTATATGCCTTGCAAACATAAATCCGCCAAAGGGTTTGACTATAAGCCTAAGTTAGTTGATTGGTCAACTTGCCAAACGTTTGAATTCGGCTAGCTCTCTCAACTAAGTTCATAATTGGGCATATGTTGGCATACTCAATAATTGAAGTGCCTACAATGAGGGAATTAATCATTGTATCTAACAGTGAACATCATAGATAAAAAAAAAAAAAAATGCATCATAATAATAACAATATGTGTCGCCCAACGTGGGTCAGCTAACGAGGCGTTTGGTTATAATGAATGACTTGCAATTTCATAGGAAAAAAAAATAATGTAGGAACAAAGTAGGAGTTTAAATTTCAGTGTTTAGTTTACGATAATAAAATTATTGGGATTTCAATTCAAATGTTTGGTATACATATGAATTAAAATGAAATAAGTAGTATAACATTCAAAAGAGCAAATACCAATTTTGGTCATACGAGTATTAGCAAAATGACAGTTTTAGTCCACATGTTTAATTTATACAAATTTTCATCCACGACTATTGTTTTAGTACTAATTTTCATCCATAACTATTATTTTAGTGTCATAATTCATCACGCCGGTCACCCATTCGTTTAAGACATGCCGAAATATGAAATTATTAATGGTAGTTTCGTGCTTTTCAAATTAGGATCCCTATTTGAGCATGAATAAATGGATTTAAGCCCTAAGATCTATCCCAATTCGTAATTTTTTCCTCAAATTAAGGTAGGGTGAGGATGAGAACTGCGAATTGAGATTGATCTTAGGGCTTAAATTTATTAATTTATGCTCAAATTGGAATCTTAAGTTGAAAAAGGACGAAAATGTCCTTAAAATTTTATATTTCGGAATGTCTTAAATAAATGGGTGACCGACGTGATGAATTTTGATACTAAAATAATAGTCATGGATTAAAATTGGTACTAAAACAATAATCGTGGATGAAAATTGATAGAAATTAAACATGTGGACCAAAACCTCATTTTAGTAATACTCGTGGAACCAAAATTGATATTTGCTCACGTTCAAAATGTCCATTATTATTAAATTACCGGGATCTCTTGGATTCATTTGCATATTTAAAGTTCAAACATAAAAAAATATAACATATTAAATTCAAATACCACCCATCTAATATCTACCGTATTTATTCAACTAGACATAAAATTATTTTTCATGGAAATACTTATCAAATGTTAAGCTTCATAAACTCACACCCAAAAAACCATAAAAATAAAAGTACACAATCTAATCAACACATAACAAAATGTTATTAAAAGCTTACATATTAAAAAACAAAAACAAAAACAAAAAGTTTACCCCTTTCAATTCAACACCCACATTATCCCAACCGTCAATTTGTGGCAATAAATGTTTTTACCCATTTTAATATTGGTGGAAGGCTAAAAACACAATCATTTGATTTGGGCATTAGTCAACAAAATACACACTATTATCTAGAAGGAAAGGTCACTTATCAATTTCAATTTTAATTTAAAAAACGGAGGAGTAATTTTGTCTTAAGATTGTCTTTTTTCTTTATAAAATTCACGGAATTAAAATCTCAAAGGGCATGAGTTTCTAAACAAAGGCTTGTGTACATCAATACTAGGTTTGTATCAGCACTAGATAATTATAAGGGGTTAACCTAGACTGCCTTTAGTTAAAGATTAGGTCATAACATTAACCATTATTTTTGGGAAACATGGAAGGGTGGAGCCCCAGGACAAGCAAAACAAGGGAACTAATCTCCACAAACACAAGGGACCCCGGTCCTATCACTAAGGACGAGAGTCTCAAGCTCGATACTAGGATTGGCGCGGAAAAAAACCAAGTATGAACATAACACAGTTCTTTGCAAGTCAGTCCGCAACACGATTTTGTTTCTACAAAACATGGACGCATTTAACAATTCAATTCTTACGAATCTATCTCTTGCACTCAATGATCACATTGTTTATGATACCACCACCTCTGGATTTGGTGCCATTAATCCAATTGACCAAGTTGGTGGAGTCACTCTGAACGCAACCCTCGGTAAAACCCATACTCTTACCGTCCTACCACTTTTAATCCCAAGATGATAGCCTAAGCATCACGGTGATTCTCAGGATGCCGCCACATCTAGCGCCCCTGTCAGAATTATGCTGATTCTCAAGATGCCACCACATCTAGCGCCCCTAGCGCCCCTGTCAGTAATTATGCTGATGCCATCAGTATCCATTGCCCTTATCAATAATTAGGTTGCTATTGTTCATTTCAAACTTCACCACTATGACTAACTGTGTTGTCCATTCGAACAAAAAAAATTTATACAAGTTATACTTTTAGTGAGACTGACATATTAATTTTATTTTTTAAATTTAAATTGATTAGCTATAAATTATCTAAATCTAAATTAATTTAATTTATTGCGATCCTTTACCGAGTAATTACAATATGAAATTTATTTAGGGCACCCATCCAAATACTGATTGCGGATTTCATTGTAAGGAAAAAAGGTTTATGGAATTATGGGAAATGAAAAATATTGCATATTATATCATGTGATTTTCTGGAAGCTAGCTTGATCACTGCAAAACCGAATTCGAAGCATCCGTCTATCGCCAGACGGCCCACACCCAGAGGTAAGAGAGAAAAAGAGAAATCGTGGGCGTTGATTTTCTTAAAGGATAGCGGAAGTAGACTAACTGTTTGACTCAATGCTTCAATGAGAGAAGGAGCGAGATGAGTAAGAGGCCACCGCCAGACCCGGTGTCAGTTCTAAGGGGTCACCGTGCTACGGTGACGGATGTTTGCTTTCATCCATCTAAAAGTCTACTATTCACTGGGTACCAACTAGTTAATTTGTTTGGAGAGTTATTCTGTGTATATGTGTTCGTGGGAATTGATAATTGTTCACCGGTTTATTTGGTCCATTTTGCAGTTCTGCTGATGGTGAATTGCGCATCTGGAATACGGTGCAGCATCGAACAATTTCGTCTGCCTGGTATTGTTTTCCACTTTTCCATAATTCTGATGTCTTTAGTCCATGTATTCTTCTGTTGCAGTTCTGAAAAATTATGGGAAAAAAGATGGGAGAGGATTACTATATCTGGCTTAGTGAAAGTTCATATCTTTACTTATAGTTTGAAAAGAAGGAGACAAACTTGAGTAACATGTTATCCATTAAACATTTGGTAATGTGTTATTATGGTATCTTCCAACCCATCTTGAATATTGGAGCAGTCCAGAAAATTGAAGTCTGATCAGGCTGCATAGATACCCATTTTCATAAAAGGCTGATATTGTTCAAGATTATGATTGCATTTGAACATAACTGCATGAACTGCAGGGTACATAGTGCCCCCCATGGGATAACCTGTGTTGCGGCTAGTCCTCTGATTGGAGACAACAAAATTATAAGGTTAGCTGTCTTGATTTTAATTGTTTATTGTCGCGTGATTGCTTGATGCTTTTCATAGTCTACTGTTTCCCCATTGATTTGTTTTTGGGGCTGATAATACTACTTTCTTGCAGCCAAAGCAGGGATGGAACTGTTAAATGCTGGGACTTTGGAGATGGTGGTTTGTCCAGGTATTTAGCTCTCAATATTGATTGAGTACAGTTTACAGAGTCTGAATGATCAGTTTCTGGATGAATGATTTCCTGCATTGTCCCTTTTTGCACTTTGACTTGTTAGCTCTCTCCTGACAATTACCAACCTGACTTTGGATATTCTTATAGTAATGTATCCATCTACTATGTTCTAGAGCATCTCAATTCAAGTTGTCATTACCAACAGGACTCCTTTAATTACAGCAAATACAAACTCTCATCACTTCTGTAAGCTTTCACTAGTGAAGAGGCCAAAGGGAGCTCCATACATCAACCAATATGTGGGAAGCGGGGAAATTGCTGATAATAGGCAGGGAGATGATGAAGGTAAATTGCATTCCCACGGAATCAAAGGATTGTTCTCTTTTTCCTGTTTTATCTCTCGAAATTCTCTTATCTCTATTTTGTCCAATCACTATATCTTGTGAAATTGCCTCATGGTTGTAGTGAAACAAAATCCTCAATGTTTAATCAAGTATGGTGTCCTTATGGAACTCATTTAAAACCTATTGATTTATATTTGATATTAAAAAATAAAGAACTAGCACTTAAATCCAAAAAGGAAATGAAGTATGTACTTTTAAGTTTTAACGCAAGCAAGATTTGTTCACGGAGCAGGTCTGAAATAGAAGGTTTTTGAGAAAGGTCTTTTGATGAGAAGTACTTTTAGAGCATTAGGAAAATGTGTGGAATATTAATGGATTAGGTTACTACCATCATATTGATGCAATCTTGGAACATGTGACAGAGTTTACAAGATAGAAGTTTGCAATGAGGGAATTTATGTAATAAATTTATTAACACTTTGTATATTACAGTAAGATGTAACTAGGTGTTGCACCTTTTTTTTTTTTTAAAATTATTTTAATTTGTGTGTGTGGGTGTGAATTCTTGAATCTCTGACATTGGTCAATTATGCTTTCAGATGGTGGGGATTCTGAAGGATTGAGATACTTTGCCATACCAGATAAATTATCTCATAAGGTGAGATCAAGATTTTTTTCCTGCTACTGCAATTTCCCTTAATAGTTTCTTTGATTCTGCAACTAACCTAAAATACTGTACAATTGAAATGCAAAGGTTGAGATTTGGGATCTCAATACTGCAGAAAGGTTTATAGAACTGCCTCATAGCTCTGGTGCTTCCTTGAATCACTCTCCGAATCCAAGAGGTCTGCATTCTTTTTTTGGTCTTAAATCACTTCAATAGTTGTAGACACTTTCACACCAAGAGGTATAAATGTTTTCTAAGAATAAAGACCTTCTTTTCTCATATATGGAGCCCAATGGCTTGGCAATGTATTTCTAAAGCTTTCCATATTTAGAGAGTGAAGATTTCATTGGGAACTAACACAGTTTTTCTGATAGGATTGTGCATGGCAGTTCAAGCATTTTTATCTCCTGAATCTCAGGGTTTCCTAAATGTTTTGTCTGGGTATGTTTCTTTTCTGGAAAACAGCTTCTGTAAACCCTTTTCCTTGATGTCTAAAACTCATATTTAGTACTTGTACTGAACAGAAGTAATTATTTTATATCTTTATCTTTATTTATTTACAATAATTCCTAATTAAGTTTTTTTTTTTTGTCCCTATGACTTCCTGTTCCTTTCTTTAATGCTACAGCTATGAGGATGGATCCATGCTTTGGTGGGATGTGAGGAATCCTGGTGTCCCACTGACTTCTGTGAAGTTTCATTCGGAACCAGGTACATCTTGCTATGAGCAGAGTACCGCTATAAACCTCTTTCAATTTTTATTTATTTTTTCTTTCCCATTTGAAGCAGGCACAATAAATTTCATCTCCTGGTTTCAGTTTTAAGCATATCAATTGATGGATCATGTAAAGGGGGTATTTCTGGAGCTGCTGATGAGAAAATTGAGATCTTCACATTGGATCATTCAATGGTAATTCCAGCTGTGTGTGTGGGGGTGGGGGGGGGGGGGGTGGGGTGTATTTGGTAAATATTATTTAATCTGTTGGGATAGATTTAATAATTTGTTTTTTACATGTTTTGTGAAGATTATTGATCTTGCAACACTTGGTGGCTCAACGCTCATTAAAACCAATAATCCATAAGTATCTTTGAGTTGAATATGAATTAGTCATAATCTATAATCATCTTTGCCAAAAGAGACCATTGTATGCTGTCTCCTTATTTGCAGTATTCCTACTATGCCGTTTGAAAGCCAAAAAGTAGCATCAGAGCTATTCTATGGAAATGTTGCTCTACAATTACTGACTTACCGAAGTTAGTGTTAAGAATAGCAGCCTCAATGTTTTGGTTCTTACTATCTGTTTGTTTTGATCAGTTCTAGTATTGGTCAAGTATGTTTATTCTATTATCTTTGTGTTCTCTATCATGCTGGATTTGTTACTAAAATTCCAAAAAAGTGCTAGGATGGTATGGTATATCTGGGCACAATGTAATTCCATTCCTCTTCAAAGATGGTAATGATTCCTTTTCCTATTCATTTACACATTTCATGTTTCTTTGCTTCGGAATAGGGTACTTGTGTAGTCAAGAAAGAAATTATGTTGGAGCGACCAGGCATAGCTGGAGCCTCGATACGTCCAGATGGCAAAATTGCTGCAACTGCTGGCTGGGATCACCGGTATGGCCACTGAATCTCAATACATTTCAATATACGTAATTTGCATGTGGATATGCCCACTGCTACACTATATCATCTCTATATATATGAGGATTATAACCAAAATCCAACACGTCTTGGTATATATTCTAGGTGAATCATTTATATTAGATTATTAGCTGACATTATTCATATTCTTGTGGTGACAGAGTTCGCATATACAATTACCGTAAAGGAAATGCATTGGCTATACTGAAATATCATCATGCCTTGGTATACCACTGTTTCTCAGATCTAAAAAAGTGTTCCTTGCGTCACGAGCATATATATACACTAAATAATTAATTTTTAGTTGAAACGGAACATATCCTTCTATTCCTTGAACCATGTTCAAGTATATTTTGGTTGTCGACTTACATGTCATGGATCCCGTATTCATATTTCTTCTTTTCTTTTCCTTTTCACTGATATAGATTACAAATTTTGCTGCAGTGCACGGCTGTTGCATTCTCTGATGACAGCAAACTAATGGCCTCTTCGTCGGAAGACACAACTGTAGCATTGTGGGAACTTTACCCTCCAGGAACATGATCTCCAGCATAGTTCAATACTTCAATCATAGGAATTCTGCTCAAAATTTTTGAAAAAAAAATTGATTATTTATTTGGAATTATAAAGTGAAAATAGTGCAGTTTTTATGTCACACATGCTATCAATTTATTTGGAATAAGATTACTTATTTTGGGTGACGAAGGAAACTCGCAGAGTTGCAGCCACTATCTGAGGGTGTGCAACGGGTATATCCTGCCTTGTGACTTTAATCAATAAATAACTATAAGAAGATAAATTAGTCTAGGTTGTCCATAGTTAACCGACTCGATTCAAACTAAGGGAGTTGAAAATTTAAACTCATGACGTTACGGTTACAAGTTTGTATCCTTAGCTATCTTGGTTAGGATTATAGGTTACTTATTTTAATTCTCTCAATAACAAGATGTCGTGAAGCAACAAAAAGAAAAATCATAAATTCAAATGATGTAATTTATCAAAGTAATGCTAACATCCTTTATTATAGCACTATCATTTAATTACAAATACTTTTATTTAATCTTCGTAATATTTTCAAGATTACAATAATAGTAAGTTGTGGTTGAGCAAATGTTGTGAAATTGAGTATGTATTATAATAAATTTAACAAAAGATTTCATTAAATATTATAGTGCACAAATTTAATTAAAATGGCCCTTTAATATGACACCGTTGACAGAAATGTTCATGATTTTTCCATTTTGGGGATGAAATTCATTTTTTTTTTTTTTCATTTGAGAACAAAAGAAATTCGAATTTTCCATTTAGGGACGAAGGAAATTCACAATTACTGAAAAAATTTGCAATTATTACTGGGTAATGGTAATGGTTGGATTGAAGCAGGGTCAATGATAGGAGAACTGTTTCCATCAATCAACCTGGTAAAAGTAAAACTTCTGCAGTGGCAATGGGAACCGAAAGCGATGCATTAATGCAGTTTTTTTGTCTTCATGCACGAAATTCAAGAAGCTTAAAATCCTATAAAACTCACCCGAGTTCCCTCTGAATTCTTGACTAAATAAAACCATGTTCACATACATACGGAAGAGCATACGTATTGAACTACTTGAGTACGTATATTGTATATATATCATTAATAAACGGTGAAAACAGTGAAAGATGCTGGGTGTGGGCACTATTGGCAGGTAAAAATAGGAACTTGAGAGAAAAACGTATTTTGGGTTTTTGGGTGTGTGCTCCTATTTGCTCTTTCAACTACTGTTCTTCCTTTCGTCTTATTAGATTGGATTAGATATTTCTATCCTCTGATTTAGGGTTTTGACTTTGATTTCTCACCTCTGTATGTATCTTTCAATTCTCGTGTGTAAGCTCTCTGAAGCCTTCATCTCTTTGATCGGGAAATCCTTGTGAATTTTCTGCTTGTTTTCTCCGAGTGAGATTGGGTCTTGGATACATAATCTGGCTGTTTGGGTTCTTTAGCGTCCTTTCTGCCTTGTGATTTTGCTATCCAGCTTGAATTTTCAGCTCTCTTTCATGTTGACTTGCTTTGACTCTTGCTTGCTTGCCGCGATTTGGGGTTTTCTGATGTTTTCTGTTTTGGTTTGAAGCTGATTGGTGAACATGGAAGTTTCAGCTTCTTTCTGATTCTTGAGTTTTGTGTAATCTGTCTTTTAGAATTCTTCCATATATAACTTGCTCTCATTTTATCTGAATTTGCTATTTCGGGTAATTTTCAGATTTGTTCTAGCTGATTCTGTTGCCATGTAGTTTCCTGGTTAATTTTGTGCTCAGTATCTGCTTGCTCAATGCATACTCTTCTATGATTCTATGAATCAGCCTCTGTTCAGTTCTGAAGTGATGAAATTTGTATGTCTTGCTTATATATACCTTAGAATTGTTCAATTGGCTTGAAGGGTTTTTGTCCAAATTTGTCCGTGCATGCTCTCTATGCTATGGTTTTTACCTTATAGATTCGACTTTTCATGTCTTGCCCTGAATTTTCTGTGTACTTGAATACTAAACCAACATGTGTCTGCTGCATATCATCACGTTTTTTGAGTCAATGATGGTTTGTTTTCATCAGGTCTGCCGTGATGCAGCTTTGAATTGTGTGAGCTTGGAGCATTCGGTAAGCCCCTTTTGGCTGGATTTCTAGCTGCTTGGTTGCGGTTTTAAGTAAATTTTGTATTCAAGTCGTTGATTTTGATTTAATTATTGTGTATATTATGTTCAGTTATTATTAGTTTGCGAGAAAATTGCAAGAAATGGACATCAGTTGTTGAGTCTCTCTACTGGGTACTTAGGCATATCTCATCAGTCATCTGATTTGTGTTATGGAAATGTGCTGTAATTCCATTTTCTTTGCTTCGGGAAATTGGTGACAGGCTCCAAGTTTGGACAGTGATACGTTCCTGATCGAGTATATGTTGTACTTATCGTTGATTAAAAGCTGGAAGTGACGTTGGTGATTGAGTCGGAGTCAGTTTTAGATGGATGATGGGCACCGGGAAAATGGCAGGCATAAGCTGCCACAGGGTCAGGTAATCAGTAGTGATAAATATTGACACTGCTAAAAGGTTAGTTGTGCAGTAGATCCCCAAATGCTTCTTTTGTTTGAAGGTTTAGAGACGAATACCTGTGTTATAATTGCATCTAGATTTTCTTCATAAATATGGATTATGGAGTAAATGAAGTTTCTCGTTTCAGAATATTTCGGTGATGGGTAATTGCTAAATTTCCATTATTTCAGTGGCTGATGCAGCATCAGCCAACGATGAAGCAGATAATGGGCATCATGGCCGAAAGAGATGCTGCGATACAAGAGAGGAATTTGGCTCTTTCTGAAAAGAAGGCTGCCTTGGCTGAGCGGGACACTGCTATCCTACAACGAGACACAGCTATTGCTGAGCGAAACAATGCGATAATGGAACGAGACAACGCTATTGCCACTCTTCAGTATCATGAGAGCTCGATGAATACTGGTAGTATGTCTCCGTGTCCCCCTGGGTGCCAAATTTCGCGGGGAGTGAAACACATGCACCATCCCCAGCAGCATGTTCAGCACCAGCCACATATGGTTGAAGCTGCATATAACTCGAGGGACATGCACATGAGTGATACGATGCCCATGTCACCAGCTGCTCCCGAGCCTGCAAAGCCAAGGCGGAACAAAAGAGCTAAAGAAGCTAAGCCAGCAACATCTAGTAAAAAGACTTCGAAACCATCCAAGAAAGTTAAGAAAGAAGGCGAAGACCTGAACAAGACGATGTTTGGCAAGTCACAGGAGTGGAAGGGCACACAAGAAATGGGTAGTGGAAGTGATGAACTTAGCAGACAAATGTGTGTGTCAAAGCCAGATTGGAAGGATCAGGACCTGGGGTTGAACCAAGTGGCGTTTGATGAATCAACTATGCCAGTCCCGGTTTGTTCATGCACCGGAGTTCTAAGGCCTTGCTACAAATGGGGAAATGGCGGCTGGCAATCATCTTGCTGCACAACCAATTTATCAATGTATCCTCTTCCAACAGTTCCTAACAAGCGACATGCCAGAATTGGTGGTCGGAAAATGAGTGGCAGCGCATTTACCAAGCTACTTAGCCGCCTCGCTGCTGAGGGCCATGATCTATCAAATCCAGTTGACCTGAAGGAGCACTGGGCAAAGCATGGAACAAACCGCTACATCACCATCAAATAAATGTTCTGAAATACTTAAAATTAATGAGAGAATATCTTTAGCAAGCATTTTATATGTTAAGATATGACTCAACTGCTCAAAGTGAAGTGTCTTAAGGCTTGGAGCCTCTATGCAAGTAACTAGAGATAACTGTAAAGCAAGTCTATCTATTTTGGATGATGATAACAATTCAGTGTAATATTGGCTGTTTAGCATATTATGCTTCTATTACTTGTCATTTAATTTTCTTGTCTTGTCTATAAATTTGTGTTACTCTTACCAGTTTATTCATCCCTGTGATTTGTTGTTGGAAATAACTCCAGAGTCCAGGCTTCAACGAAAGCTTTCTTCACCATAACCATCAATATTAGAATGATGGTAAACCAAGAATCCTCAGAATAATCATCAGTTATCACAACATGGGCTATATAAAGTATTTGCTTTAAATCTCTAAACTTCAACCATTCATTCTTCAAGATGTTTGGTTCTTCCTCCTTCTACGACGGGTTTTCTTTGGTACATCGTCATCTTCACAACTTAACCAGTTGCAGTGGTACTTCTCGTCATAAGGAACAACCTCTCCATCAACAAATGGTTCTCCTGTAGGAAACAAAAAGATGCGACACAAGATCAAAACTTTCAGCATGGATTGGTGAGACATTCTAGTACACAGAATGTCAGGAAACACAAATAGAAGTGCAAAAAATTCATGTTATAAGAGCAGAGATCATACCTCCATACCCATCTTCACCAGGAGGAAGGTAAGAATCTGGCAACACCCATCTTACACCAGGCAGAGCTGCAGAAAAGAAATGAGGCATTATTTAAAAAGCACTTCAGTGTAATGAGAGTACATAAAGGTGAACAAAGAACTTCATGAACATCACCTTTGATGCTGTGAGTCAGCTTTTCTGGAATTTTACAACTGAATGCATAGTAATACTTTGTTGAAACTGAATATATGGATCTCTTTGCCTCTTCTTCACTGCAATAAATTATACTTACAAATTACAAACATGTAAGATGTTCAAAGGGAGACAAAATTTTAGAAAAATCACAAATTATAAACACATACGAAGGAAGTTCAATGGAAACCTGTAAAACATAAGACTACCTTCCAACTGCGAGAGCGAGAGTTTGGATATAGCGGTGGACGATTTGGTCCCTTAGAGGGTAACCATCAGGTGGATCCATGACAACAAGCCAATGGTTGTAGTCACAGCCATTTACCAAAGAGTCCACCGGAGTAGTCAAACCAGACAACTCATTTGGTGGTAAGTTGAGGCTCGATGAGTCCCCTGAGAAGAGACATTTACTTATGTTTAAGTTGGAGATCAAGGTAGAGGGATGTTGGAAGTATTGGTGGTAGAATGACTGTCTTCCAAAGATGATTTTCCGCAACATTGGCTACTACTCCAGCCCCTTCAGCTCTGAAGACTTGAGTGGATTGCAACAGATTATGAAAGTTTTTGCCTTTTTCTGTTTTCCAGGCACTGAAGAATGAAAGAGAGTAATTCAAAAAGTATGGATCAAAGTACACCATATTTGTGTATATATCCAAATATCCAATCATTATGCAGATGATTTGAGGATCAAGTAGAGATTTTTATACAATGTATAGAATCAACCGATAGTAAGGAATGATCATAGAACTTCTCACCTTCCCAAGTCATAGATGTTACTCTCTAGCACTGATAAATCACCAGAAATGTTTGACTCGCTAAACCCAGGCCCTTCCCAACCAAGCTGTCAAAAGAAAAATTCAACAATCAAAGAAGCAAACATGTCGTCGTGGTGACGGTGGCGGTAAAACTACGTTCTCCAGTTGACCGACCGCCGGTCACTGGTCGGAGTAGTATCGTTGGTGAGCTGCTCCGAGGAAGGGTTGTGAACAGGGGAAAACAGTGAAGAGTCCATTATATGCATAGCGATTTCTGACCCAATGGACCGGCCCACTAATATATATATATACACCGATCCATTAAAATGTGGAGGGTCATGTAAAAAAGAAATCATTTTCTGGGCTCAAAACCATGTCATCTACTCATCTCAGTGTTGAGCAGAGAGAGAGAGAGAGAGCCCAAGAAGAATGTTGAAATTTCTATCGAAGGTGAAAATCGAGTTCAACGCGATCGACCCGCGCATTGCGTCATGTATGGAGTTCCTATCTCAATGCAACGCCCCAAAGGCGAAGGAGTCCAACCCGGCTTGTCAAATACAGGTGAAGCGCCGCACCGACGACCACCCGCCGCAGATCACCGTCACCTTCGTCAACGGCGTCGAACAAACGTATGATGCCACTTCCACCCCCGCCCAAAACATTCGCACCATGATTCTTGAGAAGGGTCATCAGTATCTCGAGACCGAGCGGATGTTCCGTGAAGTTGGCGAGAAGTGGCCCGTTGTTATTCCCGTACAAGAGCTCAGCCAACCATTCATTGGAATTCAGGTTATTTTTTCATTTTTTGCTTTTTACGGGACTAGACTGCTGCTTGTTTTTGAATGAGGCAAATCGTCGAATAGATAGTATGCGCAGTGACTAAACCAAAGATTGCTCCTTTATTACAAAATTTCCAAAAATTAGTGGATATCTTTCAGTTTAGCATCATTTTGTCAAAGAGAATTCAATATAGACTTAGAACTGCTTCATGTTCTACAGAGGCTGCAAAAGTATAAGAGGTATCATTCTCTCTGCAAGTAATACATAAGCCTTAGCTACCATGATACATTTAATGCTATAGCCTATTATGGTAAGGTACTAATCCCCTCTGTCTGCTGTATTTTGCTACTCGTAACTGGCCCTTTGTTTATATATATGTCAACAAACGAGAACAAGAATCGAAAAATAATGGCAGAAAGTAAAGATTACATGTCCACATGAGACATACACAACATGTTCATATTCACTTATAAATTTTTAAGACCTGCATGTTGATAAATTGATAAGACACATGAAAGATCATTACTTGATGTTTTGAAGACTGATGAGTATTTTAACTTGTAAAGTTCTGGAAGCTTTAATTTTGCAGGTTGCATGTTGTTTGAGCTTGGCTTCCATTTTTGGGTTTTTGTGTGATTTAGCAATTGTTGCTTGTTTCTTGATCTAATTCCTTAGGATTATGATATGCGCCCTGCAAAATCTCCAATACTTCATTAAAAGCCGCACTTCATCATTCCTGTGTGGTTTGGATAATCAATTACCTTTTTTAGTTTTTTCCTTTTCATAACAGTTGATAACATAGTGATCCATCACACCATCATACACTGCCTGCATGGATTACACTGAACATACTTACATATGCAAGCATTTTTCATGTTTGAGTAGAACTGCATTTCTCTCGATATCTGATCATTCATGTGGCAATATAATTGGTTTCCCAGATATTAAAGCAAACATGAATCCTTCGTTATGAATGACTTTATGAATGAACGTGACTTTATGAATGATTCTAAAGCAATCCACTGGGTGTTTCAAGGATGTTATATCATGCATTCATGCACTACACAAATTTTCTTTCCATTATAGATAACGTGTTAAATTTCTCAATGCTCTCATAACACTAATCCTTCGTTTTTTTTTTTTTTTTTTCATGCTTATATCTTCAGCCACAGAAAGCAGAAGAGAAAAAGCAGTGATTGCCATTGCAGATGCTCTTTGCTTAGTCAACTCTGACAGTCAAGAAGATGACCCTTCAAAGGGGGGTGTAATTCTTGAGCATTAAGTGCTCTGGAGTGTAGTATCTTCATCCCTGAGAACATCGCCATTTCAGCATGCTTTGTTTTTTGGAAATTTTTAAACTAAACAGTTCATTGCAGTGTCATGTAGGCTTGCTGCAATGTTGTGAAATGATCAAACAATTTTAAATTACAAGAATAGAATGATTGGGAATTGAAAGGGAAAGAAGTGAATAAATTCTAAAATGTTTTTGTATAATAATAATAATATAATAATAATCATAAGAAAGATAAAATTATAATTTATCATGAAATTACAATTCAAAAGTTTATATTTTTTGAACTTTAATTGAGTAATACTTTTGCATTAATTTTATAATCAAATAAATTTATACTTTCAAATATTAAAATTGTTTATAATTTTATTATTTAAATATATAATTTAAAAAATTTATTCATGCATCACACAAGTAATAAATAGTTTATCTAAAAACAATTAAGCTACTGAAAATATGTTTTTTTTTCTTAATTTGAAATTGGATTGGCTAAAAAAAATATCTACACAGTACAATCCAAATCCTACTTGCCCACTCAAAAAGCCCAAAATGGGATGTGTAAAGTGGAACATATATGTGGGCCGACCCAACCCAAAAGCCTATATTTTTCTTTTTCTTTTTTTTTTTTTTTTTTGATAAAAAAAGCCTATATTTTTCGAACAAATGAAATCCGATAATCCTTTTAAGTTCACACAACGGATCGGCGCACGGCGGAGGGGGACGGCGGCGCCGAGGAGGTCTTCTGGAGCAAACCTTAGAACTCTTCTATCGCCGCAGGGGTTTCTTCTTCATTGTAAGCGCCTCTTTCCCGCACAGTCGTGCCCTCTAGACCAGCTTGAGATGGCAATTTTCCAACTCTACATTCCCATTTGTTTCTTAAATTGTATTTTTGTTAATTTTGGATTTTGTATATTTATCCAGTGCTGTAGAGCTAATTCAGAGCTGTAATTATATGCTTATAACTCCTTACAGATGTTCTAAATTTCTTGAATTGCATTCTGTTCTGTGTTTTCGACTTTTGATGTTGGAATAAATTTGTAAGAACCAAAGGCACCATTTTGCGGGATGGAAATTTTTTTCATCTTTACATTATGAAGGAAGTAAAGAAGCTTCTTGAGAATGGCAGAAAAATAAATTGAGATACAATCAATGTATTAGCATTTACCCCAATCCACCCCACTCATTTTCTGAGAAAAACTCAACAAAGCTACATGTATAGAGCAAGTTTGATCCTTTCAGTCTACATCTTTGTGAAGCATTTATTCGGTATGAATCATCTTTAAAAACTAAGGAACTGCATTCTCATTATCTGTATGCTTTTATGCATCTCGAACAAGAAGTTCCATGGCCTATGTGCTTTTCAGTTACTACCTACTATGTTTCTCTTTCAAGAAAAAATGGTTACAGATATGCACACTGGCATTTGTTTTTCATACATCTTATAGCAACTGACTTGTTTTATAACTATTGTCAGATATGTTGTTGCAGATGGCTTTGGTGTATTACGAATATTAAGTTAACCAATAGGCCGTACAAATATGGGAACTCAAAATTTTTTATGGAATATGACTAAGTACGTTGTTACTGGGAGCCTCATCGGTGTCACTATATCTGATCGTTATGCCAGTGTAGTTTCCGTTAAAGGCGTCTCCATGTCTCCAACATTTAACCCTCACGGAGATGGACTCTTGACTCGTAATATCAGTAGTTACATTCATATTTTCTGCCCTCTTCGTTCCACTGTTGGGCAGATTTTCACTGGCTTTCACTTGACCCAGGTGACCGTGTTTTATTGGAGAAATTATGCCTCGAAAAGTACAAGTTTTCTCAAGGTGATGTAGTGGTGTTCAGGTAAATTTTGTTGGTGCTATTTCAGTGGAATTTCATATATTTGTATCCTGATATCTTGTTCACTGCAAGTAGTTGCATATTGTTGGGCGGAGGCTAGTAAAGGGCCAAGTCCATCAATTGGTGGCTAGAGGATTGTTAGGCGGAGGTCGGTGAAGGGCCAAGTCCAGCATCCTGCTTCTCAAAAATGTGATGGCGGTCTATAAAGAAATAAAGTTGCGTCTTCTTTTAAGATCTGTTACCGTTCCTTTTGACGAAATCCTATTGGTGTTACATTTTCTTTGAAGATCTCCTTCTGATCATCAAGAGAAACACATGAAGAGGGTAACAGCCTTACCTGGTGACTGGATCAGTACACCCCATTCATATGATGCAGTGATAATACCAGAAGGCCATTGCTGGGTTGAAGGTGACAATGCAGCATGGAGCTTTGACTCGAGATCCTATGGCCCTGTAAGTGACATGCTTAAACCAACATGACATTCAAACGTTCATCTTCTTTCACTATCTCTCCCCCGTGAATTATAATTTCTGCAACGTTGAGATATTTGCATCTGTCATAGCATGTGAAATAAGTTTCTTTTGTTAGTGGTTATTTCGTAATAGTGTTCTTGTCTTGAAATACTGTAATTCCAGATCCCATTGGGTTTAATTTGTGGAAGGGTCACACACATTATCTGGCCACCTCAGAGAATTGGTACCATAGAAAGAAGTCTTCCTCAAAGCATCCCACCTTTGTAAATGTGTTTTGACGCCAAATTTCTCATTCTTCAAGTACACACAAATTTTCTTCATTTCATCCAGTTGCCCACATTCACTTTCATGGAAGATAAAAACAACAATCTGCATCCTAATAATGTCACAATACCCTCTTCCATTTCATTTAGCTATACCTGGATTCTTGAACATGTTTTTGACACTGAAGTTTCTGTATTGGAATTTTTTGATAGTATTCTGTACTTTGTTGCGAGACATTGTGTGGTACTCCGTATTATTTTTCCTTTGAAAATTCCCAGATTGAAACATTGGCTCCTAGTGCCTGTAATTGTAATGTAAATGAAGCAAGAAAAGGGAATCTGATCTCTTTTGTAATGTAAATGAAGCAAGAAAAGGGTTGCTGCAATGTTGTGAAATGATCAAACAATTAATCATCCATGCTTTTCTTCCCCGGCCTAATTATATTTGTGTATTACCATGATATGTTTTTGGCTGTTACCATGATAATAAACTAACTAATATGGCCCCTGAATTTTTATTTTACAATTCTCTACCTCACTAAGGCTGTGTTTGGAAATCCGGAAAATGATTTCTGGAAATCATTTTCCGTCAAATGACCATCAATGTTTCCGGCGGAAACTAGAGTGGTTTCTGGTGGAAACCTTAAAAAAAAAAAAAAAAAAAAAACCACAGAGGAAGGAAAACCAGAGAGAAGTTTTCTCTGGTTTCTTCCGACGAGGGAAACCAGAGAAAACTTCTCTATGGTTTCCGGCGATGGAATTCTCTCTGGTTTTCGACGAGGGAAACCATAGAGAACTTCTCTTTGGTTCCTTCCGTCTTTTTTTAAAAACTTTTTAATAATTACTATTATTTGTTCAAAAAAATTATTATTATAAATATTTTTTATTTTAAATAAAATAATTAATTATATAAAATGTTTAATTATACAATTTTACCTCATTTTTCAGAAAATGAACCAAACACACAAAGATAATTTTCTATTGTGCTTCTAATTTTCAAACACCGAGAAAGAAAAATGTTTTCTGGAAAATGATTCATTTTTCAAAAGTCATTTTCCTACTTTCTAAACGGACCCTAAATTCTTTCAGATAACATGTAGTTCAATTATTAGCTATCAGTTGAAATTCTTAGTTGAGATGAAATACATCTCTCAATAAAAGCCAAACTGTTTTCAAGAAATTTTTTAAGACTTTTTAAAAAACACATTTTCAACAAGTTTTATCAAGATTTTATCGGTTTGAAGAACTTCTCAACTTCAGTATAGTTGGATGAATTCTTGAGGTCATTGCAAGACATTGATGGATGTGGTTTGGATTATCTTTCTTCCCAAAAGGTTGAATTTCCAACCTTAAGGGCCTCCCACACCTCAGTCCAACAGAGCATATGGGAGTCATGGTAACTTAGTTAAACACAGAGATTAGATAGCTCCCTTACTTTTGAGGATTGCTTCCACACTATCGCTGATGAGACTTCATCCTTAGTAATTCTTCCCAAACTTCAGTCCTATAACCAACTGAGCTGTCTATGCAAGCTGGTTTGAATTATCTTTAGAAGGTTGAGCTGTCTATGCAAGCTGGTTTGAATTATCTTTAGAAGGTTATTGGGAGAGCTTGACGGATGCACAAAGTTTACAGGCAGGCAAGATGAACTAAGGAAAAAAAGAAAAAAAAAAAAGAAAAAAAAAAAAAAGAAAGAATCTATTATGAGAGGCCCCCATAAGCCGTCTTTGCTTACACGTGATGGCCAGTGATAAGCTGCTTCCCTTCCCGGGATCCACCGACAATCATTAGATCTGCAATTCTGCTCTTTAGCCTTAAATCTCATCTTTCTCTCCTACACACAACACATTCCCTTGCAGGTTCAGCAGAGTAAAGATGGGCGCCGTCTCTCTGAAAACTGGAAATGGAAGCGCAAGGTTTAAAAGGGCTTCGTTCTGCTCCTCTGCAATAAACGTGTTTATGCTATTCTCAGTAGTCACCACAAACATCTTTGCTCTCTTTGCCTTCACTTACTCCCCCAAGATCCACGACGCCCACGAGAACATCTTCGTCGTCTCTGAACAGGTCTCTTTGATCCTCGGTGAGATTGAGTCTTCCCAAAAGAAGCTTACCCAGATTGAGAAAGAGCTCCTAGGCTATGAAAGCATCGATCTTTCCAGGCCAAATGTTGCAGATGAGCTGAAAACCTTCCTACTTCATCACCAGCTTCCTCTGGGCAAAGATTCAAGAACTGGGATTACTGAAATGGTGGCTTCCATTGGCCATTCTTGCCAGAAATCTCTGGATTTGCTGTCTCAGTTCATGCAATACAAGGTCAATGGGCATTGCCCCGATGATTGGAGCCTTGCCCAGAAGCTAATTCTCAGTGGCTGTGAGCCATTGCCAAGAAGAAGATGCCTTGCCAAGCTTATCCCCAAGATAGGTCTCCAACCTTTTCCTGATTCTCTGTGGAAGAACACCAGTGAAAAGACTCTAACTTGGAGTGGCCTTCCCTGCAAGAATCTAGCGTGTTTGAATACTAAGAAACTGAACAGAGATTGTGCTGGCTGCTTCGACATACTCAAAGGATATGAAACTCAGAAGTATGTTAAACCCAGGGGGAAGAACGATTTCTTGATTGACGATGTCTTAGCAATGGGGGGTAATGGAGCAATCAGGATTGGGTTTGATATCGGCGGCGGGTCTGGAACTTTCGCCGCGAGAATGGCGGAGAAGAATCTAACGATCGTCACTGCAACTCTCAACATCGACGCACCTTTCAACGACTTCATAGCCGCGAGAGGCCTTTTCCCTCTTTACTTGAGCTTAGACCAGCGATTCCCCTTCTACGACGCCGTCTTTGATCTGGTTCACGCCGGCAGCGGCCTGGACGTCGGCGGCCGCCCGGAGAAACTGGAATTCTTGATGTTCGACATTGACCGAATTCTCCGGGCCGGAGGATTGCTCTGGCTGGATAATTTCTTCTGTTCTAATGATGACAAGAAGAATGCTTTGACACGGTTGATTGAGAGATTTGGGTACAAGAAGTTGAAGTGGGTCGTTGGTGAGAAGATTAACGGTTCCGGAAAGTCCGAGGTTTACCTGTCAGCTGTCCTAAAGAAACCAGTCAGAGCATGACAACAAACAACCTAGTACTACCTCCGAGAACATCGGAGATCACACATTATATGCAAAGTTCCATTCTTTGTTCAGAATATTGTCAATTTCTTTACACCATAGTGATATATGCATCAGTTACTGCATTTTTATAGGGGTTCTTGCAATGTGATGCAATCTCGTACCAAACAAACATTACTATGAATAGAGAGAATAATGTCAAAACTCTTCAATACTTGAAATAATTCTTACAAAGAGTGGCATTGGCCAGCAGCAACTACACATTTGACAGCTAAACGACAATTCCCACAAAGCTAGGAGAACGCAAGAACTGATCTTTCCTTAATCCGAGATAGGCAACAAAGTGGAATCATAGTACACAGATCGATCAGTGACAACCCTCAGTTGCAGACACATGAACAGCCGCCTGCATTGCATTCGCGTTCAAGATCTGCATTCCTTCCTCGCCCATCTGCTGAACTTCAGAAGGCGAAAGAATTCTGATGCATCGGACACAACCAACGAATTCCCTGCAAAGGATGTCGGGAATGATTACAATAAGTTCGATGAGTCAAATAATAGCAAAATACAGAGTTATAAGTAGGTAAAGGCAACTTACTCCCATGGGTCATCTCCAACAAGAAGAACGTCGTTCTCAAAGTCGACATAAACCAGTTTCCAGTCCGAGCCTTTGGAATCATTTAGCAGCCCCTCCAGTCCAAACATGCGTTCAATTTCTGAGCGTAATTCATAGTAATTACTAAAACTCGAGACATCGATTGATCTGCCTACTGATCCAGCCTTTTGAATCTGTTAGCGTGAAGATAACAACAAGACCAGAATCATAAGAAAAGCGCCAACAGAGGTTTAGACTAATCTTAACTGTAAATATAATAATTTACCTTTGTGTATGTCCGGACGCGTGGTGCTACGGGTTGCCACGTGCTATTCTGCAAAAGGGCACTTTCGTCAAACTCCACATTGCTTGACGAAGCACCACCCGAGTTGTCTGCAAAATCTTGCAGAGAGAAATTTTGAGAGTCTGCGAGGCTGACTGAAGTGATCTGTGATTGGACGTCTTGGCTAGAACTGAAATTGCCCACTAGATAATCTGCGGGGTTTTGGAAATCGCCATTTCTCAAGGTGCAGAATTCGTCCAAGACGGCACTTGAAACACAAGGATCAATCACTACGCTTCCACTATTACTACCGTCAAAGTTAAGACAACTATAATCACTCTGTCCTTGGCTCTGGTTGGACGACAAGTCTTTCAGACCATACGAATCAGCCATGCTGTGAAGGTTAGAAATGTCTTCCCCCGAGGGTAGTAGGGCTTCGAGGTTCCCTTGGGGAAAACATTTTGCATCGTCCCACAGTTCTTGACCAACTGGATTAACTGCATCGGGTAACATAAATGGTTGTTGGTCCGGCTTCCTCAATGTAGAAAAAGGTTCGGAAGTTCTGAGAAACCCAGAGGGTAGATATGAACCCCATTCCCTATTATCAGGGCATTGAAGAAAGCCATTCATGATAGCCGGGTCAATCTGCGGAGCCTGCGAATCAAACTGTGGTGGCATGAGCCACGGGCTTCCTTGGATTGGAAACGAATCATTATTCGGGGTCAAAAATGCCCCCCGGGTCACCTGATTATGTGCATTTGTGGGCGTCAAGGGTAGCTTCTCGTCATTGCATTGCCCAAGAGACTGAAGCCGACTTAACTGATCTGATGTGAGCATAGGTTCTGATTTTGTCACTTCACTAGGAATTGCTGGCACGGTCTGATTTTCAAGTTTCCTGGGAGATTGCAGTTGATTCACTTGTTGCAAAGGATTTTTCGGTTCATTACTCTCGATCTGTGTAGATGTCTCTTCCACGGGAATTAGCTCGGGTTTCTGCTTGATAGTAGCCCCCGGCATCACATTCCTGGCTTCTTGAGGTATAGCGGCCTTAGTAATAGTCTCGTGAGCAATAGTCTCTTGTAGAGTGGGTGCAACAAAACCGGGATTGTTCACACCTTGGGGCCTAAGTAGCATCTTCATCACTTGTTCGGACCACATGTTTGAGATCGACGAGCACTGAATATCCCCATATACATTTTCCGGGCCCCGGATAAAAGGTCGGCTAAGCAAACTATCCCATTCGGTTTGTGTTCCTGATTCAAGATGGCATGTTAATTTACCGAAATTCAGAGTTTAGAAACCAAAAAATTCAACTTACCCAAAAAGGCCGGCTGAAAAGGTCGCTTGAGACCACCTGTCAGCGAGGGGAAAATGAAGAGGCTTTCCGGGGTCTCCACTTCCCAAGGACTAACTCTATTCTGCTTATCACCACATCCCGGCTCATCCCACTCAACCTGTTTAATTGTAATTGCAGATTTGAGGTAAAAGAATGATTAGAAGACGAGATTTTTGGTAATAAAAATTAAGTACGAAATTTTAATCACCTGGAGGCAACGCCACTTGGAACCAGGCCATCTCAATGGATCTAAGTCACTTATACCGATAATGGTACCCATATACCTGCGCTTCCCAGATTCCTCAGTTTCAAACATCATCCCAAACCTCATACCAGCAGACAGTTGTGTTCCATATATAGATTTTCGGTATTTTGCCAATGGTATAACAAATTTCGAAGGGCATGCCCTGCATAAGTCAACATATAGAATAAGACAAGTATATGCATAATTTGGTTAACTGGATTGCAAATTATCGGTTGGGGACACAAGTAACCTAGTTGGCTCAACTAACCTAGGATTGTAAAAAATCGTGAACGGGCTTCTGTTGGCAGCAGCATGGGCAGCGGCAGCAAGAACGCCAATGTGCATGCTATCGGCAGACAGAACTGATGATGGCAACGTTGTTTGCTGACGATTAGCACGCCTCACGCCCAGCATTAGTTGCGACTTTTCATCCCTAGATAGTTAAAACACACAATCATCCGAAAAAGTGAAAAGATAAATCTTTCAACTTTATAAACATGTGCGTTGTTTTTCCAAACTTTATAAATCGATGAAATATTTCAGATGCTTCAAAAACTCGCAATTACCTGATGAACAGAACAGAATCACCAGCTCTAAGCCGCTTCGCACCAACAAACATACTCCAACCAGTTGTAAGAAGGTGTCTTTTTGGTTGCCCTGAACATTACAACGGGAATAAACAACACATAATAAAAATCTTCAAAAACACTAAATAATTCAGATAATATTCAAAAACACTCTAAGAATATTATCTGAATTATCATGAAATAACATCATGTTTACCGCGGTATATGTGACGAAATGTCCAGGTGTTATCATGCAAGTCTCGAACTACGAGCTCCTGGGTTGGAGGTTGCATTGAGTAATCCTAAAAGGGAAGCAAAGTGTTAAAATAAACGTCCCGAAAAAGTATGCTGTTTAGCAAGAAATAGGGCTTACCAAAGGCGGGAACAGTTTTTCAGCAGCTCTCCTTGGAACGGAGAAACCACCATGGGTACTTGTATCACTAGCAGTCAGCGTTTTGCAGAAGAATTCTGTCGGATGCTTACTTGGTTTCAAACCGAAATCCGGGATTGGGAATACGTCTTTCTCCTGATTTAAGCAGCAGATATAATTTCTGTCAAATATCCGAACTTGTTAGAAATTATTGCATTAAGTAGCCATGCTTACAGAGTTCACAGGTTGAAGGCTCATCTGGGCATAGATCTCATCTGTGTCTTTATCCGCCTGTCAATAAGAACAACAAAAATGTTCCTTAAAATGCATAAACAAGTAAACAACAAGCTTATGTCTCGAAGAAAAAATATTTGTGTTAAGAAAAATGAAATATTTATGGAAGTCCAAATACATGTAGTGTAACATTGTGAACTTGGCACAGCAACTGAGATGGAAGATTTGGGTAATTCGGGATCTGCGAAGTTGCTGTCCTATTAGTAGAAACCGCAACCTGTTCCAATAAACTTACAAGTTAAGTAGCTAAATCGGAACTTATACAAACACAATTCAACTAATTTCATAGCAACTTAGCCCCCACAAACCCATATCATAGCAACTTAGTCCCCAAGAACATCTAAAAAAGAAGCTATGTTGAAAGGTATGACTCCATTTATGCAATGCTAACTACTATCTTGATGGCATTGTTCCCAAATCTACACACTGAATTAACTCCAAGATTTAGGATGCTATGTTTGAATCCTTAATATAACACTAAACCTTAAACAGAAAACAATAAACCTTAAACAGAAAACAGAAGGTGATGGAAGAAGAGATAACCTGTTCACTGTGGCCTTGTGGGAAGTAATAGACAAGGCTTCCAACCTGAGGCAAGGTTGCCAAAGGGCCAGCACATGCATGCCACAGCTCTGAATTTATGTGTTTCTTGATCCCTGTGATAGTTCAACCATGATCAGAAAATTTCATAAACACTTGTGATTAGTTCTTTGTAATTGCATTTCTAGTGCCCTAGTTGATTGATTTGTCTGTCCCAAATCCTTCTTCATTTACTACTGCTATAATGGAGCTCATATATACTAATAGAATGGCTCAAAAATGCAAAAGTTGGTGAAGGAAAACTGACCAGTAGTTTCCTGCATTTCTTTCAACAACTTCATCTCTTCAAGAAGGGTGTTTCCTCCACTAACCAAACCTCCTGGCCTGACCTTTTCGTCAACAGAACCCATAAAGACTCGGCCTTTACCCTTTCTTCAACCTCCAAACACCATTAAAACTCCCTTCTTTGCAGCTAACTAATGCCAAACCCAAGGACCATCTACTTTCCTCAATTCACATCCTTTGAACCAAATGTTCCAATCAGAATAATATCTCACATATTTCTTGGAGAAGAGTTAAAGAGGGAATAAGCCAAAGAACAAGAGCTCAGAGAATCTGATTGGACAAAAAGAGCATGCCTTCAAAAAATCCAAAACCAAAGAACAAACACCCCCTGCAAAAGGGGCCTGGTAACCTAAGTGGGGCTTCTCTACCCTCTAAGAATCTATCAACAAAGTCGTGAAAACAGAAAAATAAAATGAAAATAGAAAAAAAGGAAAAAGAGAAAAAAGGCAAGGGGTCGGGGTCAGCCTTGCATCAAAGCACGCGGACCAAAGCATGAGTGGTCGGGCTTTTCATCAATTGCTCCATTTCTCTTTCTTTTTTTCTTTTCATCATCAAAAGAAACCGACCTTTCATCGAAAGCGGACATCATAGAGATACGCAGAGAGTGAAGAGGGGAAGATTAAAACAAAACAAAAAAAAGAATAATAAACGAACGAAAAGACCCTTCTTTTCCCTTTGTCTCTCTCAATCAAAATACAAACAAAAGTTGCAATCTTTTTTTGCACTCTCTCTCTCTGCTCAGATGAGTTTCTCTCTCCCCTTCCCCCTTTCTTGAAACCGCGAAAGAAAGTGTAAGCTATGCACTCTCTTATCCTACGCATACACACTTTTGCCCGGTATGTTTTAGCTCGCTCCGTTTGCAGCTGATGAACCGGAGAAATTTTTTCTAGTTTTTTTCTGGTATATATTATCAAGCGCAAGAAATAGCAGAGAGCAAATTTATGCCAACACGGAATCGTACTGTGACACTGCTCGTTCAGATAAAGTCAGAAATTAAATAGTGAAAAAGGGAAATTCAGTTGCTTGTATACACAAGCAAGCTCCCTGCCATCATTAAAATTTACTAAACTCGAACAAAGTACAACAAAAATTTTACTTTATTATTTTCAAGACAAGAAACGACTCTGAAAACGCTGGGAATTAGAGTTTTAACGTATTTTTCAAAGTATTCTTCCCAAAAAAAATACTTTTTTTTTCAAAGTATTATTATACGGATTACAGATCAGTATCGTGGTCGACGAGGTCTGCTTCTCCCTCTCCCATCCACTTTTTTCTTCTTTTTATTTTTTAAATATAGAAAATGGAGGGAGGAAGGTGGGGAGACGAGACCGATATGGTAGAAGATGACAAAATGGCGGCGCATTTTAGCACGTGGATTACGATGAATTGCCGAACCGCTTCCCTTTTCCTATCCCACAATCTTGACTTTCTCCTCTATGTTTTTTCCTTTTACTTTTTGTTTTAGTTTTTCTTTTTTAACGGAGAATTTATAATCACAACTTCATTAAAGGCCGTTTGGTTCGCTGGAAAATATTTGAAGGAAAATAGAATTGAAATTCCATGGAAAATAAATTCTAAAAAAATAGATTTCATTGTTTGGTTGGTGGAAAAGAAATTAATGGGAATATGAATTCCATTGTTTGGTTGAGTTTGGAATGGTAAGGAATAATGTGTATAATGACAAATATAACCCTACACAATAATAATAATATAATAATAATAAGAGTAATTAATAAAGAATGTTGGGGGTAAAATTGTCATGTTAGTTTTCCATGGAAAATAAAATACCTAGCATGAGCTAGGAATTTGTTTTCCTCATCCTTAAGGAAAATTTTTTCCTATGGAAAATGTTTTCCATCCAACCAAACAACATAAAACATCATTTTCCTTCACTTTTAGGAAAATATTTTCCATCCAACCAAACACCCCCTAAAATATTTTATAAATTACCCAAAAGATGTAAATTATATTAAAAGTTTTTTTTTTTGTATAAATAGCTTGACTAAAAGAACATTAGTAAAATTATAATTATAATATTTAGATACGGTATTTTGTTCATATAGACATTCCTTTTGTTTTTTTTTTTTTGTTTTTAATTATTATTGCTTGGGAGGAATCTTGGTCTCATTCATATATTTTGCCATTTTCCCATTGAACATTGGTAATAAGCTCACTATGAATAATGAATAAAACGTACATTCGGCCATGGTTGGACCGTATTGCACGCCTTCCGGACATATAACTTCATGTCATCCTTACATGTTTTACACATTTATATGACCATAAGGTCATTCACACCCACAAAATTTTAAATATTGGCATATTGTAAGATGATGTGAAAGTGAGAAAATTATAAAATAATAATAATATTATGTTGCTGCAAGTTTGACCGTCGAATTACATATCATTATTAATATTTTATTAATTAAAATATATTGTTTAATAAGTTGATGTGATAGAGCATATGGTATCTTCTAGCATCACTATTATAAGATTAGTTCAATTCAACATGAGTCACACCTACAGAATTTGACTTGTACTTAGCTCTAACATTGTCGTTGCATTAACATCTCGTTGTAGGTCATTTCAATATGTGAGTTCTATTTTTGAACTTAACTATTATATGCGGTATTTATTTTTAGTGTAATATTATAATTATTTTGTACTTACCCTTGTTTTTCCTAGAGATTATATGGATTGCACTTTGAAAAAAAAAAATGGAATTCAATCAAGGATCACTTAGTGGTATTTTAGTGCTGTTGTCCAATCTTGGGAGAAGATCTTTCATGTGGAATTTTGGCACTTGATCATTGATCACGCGTGCAGTTAACGACGGCAGCACAAGGCGCACGTTAGCAACCGAATATTGTCGGTATCTAATCTTCTTCATCTTTGTGGGATTCATTAATAGCAATTAACAACATTAACAATTCTTGTCTTTATAGACTTAAATGCAATTTTGCTTTTTAAATAAATGAACTCGTAAGCTTCAACATTGCACCAATGCCTAGATTCACACCACCAACTTGGAAAAGATTATGATGAGTTTCATGAATTCTCAACTCTCTTTTCACACTTCTCAAACTAACCACTAAGACCAACCTCACTAGTAAAAGTTTTTTCTACAAATTTTTTATGAGCCAAAACATGCACCTCATCATTCAATACTTATCTCACTCAATTTTAAAAATCATAATCCGCATTAGGGCAACTCCAATTATGGAATTTTGGATGGTTTTCGAGGTGCCAACTGAGAAGGAGAAGAAAGAAAAAAAAAAAAAAAAAAAAAGGAGACAAATCTGGCGCAACCAAAAAAAAAAAAAAAAAAGATAAGAGTCAGATAGGCCCTCAAACTTTTGCTAAAGAGTCAATTAGACCCTCCAACTTTTTAAAAGTGCAATTACACCCATGAACAATGCATTTTGTAGCAATGAAGCCCAAATACAGGTAAATGACATGCTATCATAGGTCATTGAAGATCCGACGTATTTCCAATAGAAAGTGATCGGCGACGGTCGCCGATCAAGAACCTTCTCCGGTAACGGTGGAGAAGACCACCACTGTGGTGGTTTTCTCGCTGAAGAAGGCAACCCAAATCTGGGTTGCTTTCTCCACCGTTGCCGGTCACTTTTTGTCGGAAAATACATCCGAAATACGTCGGATCTTCAATGACCTATGATAGCAGGTCATTTATCTGTATTTGGGCTTCATTGCCTCAAAATGCATTGTTCATGGGTGTAATTGCACCTTTAAAAAGTTAGAGAGTCTAATTGACTTTTTAGCAAAAGTTTGAGGGTCTATTTGACCCTTTTCTAAAAAAAAAAGACAATTGACACCCCAGCGGGCGCGGGCGCTACACATGCCTAGCTAGACGCGATTTGTGCGCACGCACAATCGCCTAATCCTTCTCTTTTCTCTCTCATGTGGATCCCACAAAAAAAAAAAAAAAAAAAAAAAAAAAAAAAAAAAAAAAAAAAAAAAAACAGTTGCAAGAAGACCCCCAAAAATTTCTCTAATCCACATAAGCCTGTTTGCCTAACAAATGTGAAAAAAAAAAAAAAACACTAATATGGTTAGCCTTAGGCTATCATTATCCCTACAAATCTCTTTAACTTTCACGTCATCAAATTTGTAAATTCTCAACTATTTATTATATATCCCTACAAATCTCTCTCACTTTAAAAAAACGAGTCACACTTTCATATTATATTATAAATATGATAATAAAATAATAATAATAATAATAATAATAAATTTTAAAAATGGCGGATGCCAAACAAATTTGCTGGAATAATCTCAATTTTAATTTTATGTTATTTTTAAATTTTTTTATAGACCCACCATTTTACCATAAACAAATAAAAAAAAATACTAGTAGTAATTTACATGTTAGAATTTTATATAATTTTAGTATAAAAGATATATATCAATGAACATTTTTGATTCATATTTAAACATTTTATCTGATTGAAATGTATTTGGAAATATATTACGCATGTAAATTTATATATCATTTTATTTGATAAATGAGAGACATGTTTACGAAATTAATATTTTTTTATAGTGAGATGATGTTTAGCATTTTAGGTCAAAAAGCAATTAGTGACAAAATGCATTTTAAGTCAAAAGCAATTAGTGACAAAATCAATAATGCCAAAGGATACTTCAGTCAAAATCAATGGCATTTTTGTCATGCATATCCAATTTCGTTAAATTTCTCAATTTAAATTAAAATTACTTTACGTAATTAAGAGTCGGCACTATGATCATGAAATATGAATGCCCATTTATGCACCGCCAGCTACCACTGACACAGTCCAGCACGAAAATTCTTAAGGGGTATAACACAATTCATGGTTACAATAGTGCTCTCGGAGCAATCTCAACTAAATTAATTAAATTATTAATTTAATAATTATAAAGTTTTAAATTTGACTTTCAGTAATCATAATTTATTAATGTTTTTTTAATTTAAATTAGTTAATTATGAATAATTTAAATTGATTTATTTTATTATCATCATTTGCTGATTAATTTCACACGACAGAGTTAATTTAGTGTACATTATCGGGTAATAGTTGTAAGTTTTTATCAGAATTCAAAAACTATTTTAAATTACCCTCAAGGTATGTGTGGATGAGTGGATAAAACATTATTTAATTTTCATATTTGAAAGTCGCATGTTTGATTCTTACTAAGTCATCTTAGTTAGGTACATTACAAAAAGTCGTCATAATGTAATTTACGAGCTATTACATTATACAATTTCATCAAAAGAATAAAATCAGCCATATATTATTAATTTGTGTGGGCACCTCAATAAATCTTATCGGATCAGAATGTAAAAGTTATGAGAAAAGACTTTCTCTTTTGTGGGCAAGTAATAAATTAGTAATTATAAAAATTTCATCAAAGTATATTATAACATGTAATTAAATTATTAATACAAAAAAATTGAACTATAAATTGCCATGATAAAAGGAAGATTAGTGAAATTGGATTGTGTGGTTCTGTTTGGTAGAGGTTATTTAGGAGCTTATAACTTATTTTTTATGTTAGTAATAAGCTAGTTTGATAATGTTACTAAATAAGCTCCTAGTTCCACTACCTTGACTCTGTTTGACAGAGCTTAGCTCTGTTTGGTAATGTTCCCAAAATAAGCTCTCAATTTAAAATAAGCTTCTAGCTTTCTAACTTTTTTTCTATCTTTATCCTTATTATTTTAAACA